GGCCGTGGCGGCCCGCGGAGCCGGGGCAGGCTTGGGGCGGCGGTGTGTGTGTTACCTGGGGCATGGCGTGGTGACTTCCCCTTCCCCGGGGGCTCCACTTGCGCGAGGTGGAAGATGTGTGTTTGTTGAGATGACCGTGACGTAAAAATTAAAGATAACAAGAAAGAAATCCCCTGGCATGGCATTGCTTTTCCTCAGTCGCCCCGTGAAACGAGAGGAAATACTGAGGGGGGGGCGAAGAATAGCTTTAGGTCCCTAGCGGCAGGGTGGCCACTAGAGTTGTGTCTGGGTAAACGGTGAAGAGCTCTCGCAGGTTGTGCTGGGGATACGGTTACTTTTATCTTCAGGGATCTTTTACTTATTTTTGATGCCTTCACTTCTTTGTGTCATCGGTACTATTGTACATGATACTGATTTTTTTTTTTTTTCTAAAGGCTTTTAAAATGTAATAGTTCTAATTCCATCTCCGTAATCTTTGGAATTGCACTTCATTGATCTAAGAAATTTCCTTTTTCCTCCAGTCTTCTTCCCAGATTGTTGGTTTTAGGAAGATGTGATGGGAGGAAAAAGTGCATCCAAAATCAAAGTAGAAACAAGGGGTAAGAGGCCTTTTATTTAAGACTAAACCTTTCATTTAGTTAACTTAGGATTTCTACTAACTGCATTAGTGGTATATGTGAATCCTGGTTATTATATCTGCCTGCTTCTTCCCCCCACCCCACTGCTGAAAATAGTGTAATTCTGCTATTGTGTATCTTACACAGTTGATAAGCGGATTGAGTCAGAGGAGTCTGGAGACGAAGAAGGGAAGAAGCAAGCAGTTCGCTTAGTAACAGACCTCAGTCAGCAAAGCCTGAGAGATGAGCAGAATGGTGAGAACTCCACAGGTACTTTGCCAACCTAAATGATCGTGTTAGGAAGTGTCGTCTTACCAGTCTGTACGGTAGTATTCTGGTACCATTCCTTTGTTTCTTGTGGCTGCATGATGGTTGTATCGATGTTAGTGAACAACGTGAATCTGCCCTAGAGCAATCTTCTTTAAATAAAAATAAATGATAGTGTTATCACTGCTAAAATTTGCCTTTTTTTATGGAATCGCTGATACGAGACCTTTTTTTTTTTCTTAGTTATCCATCCACATTGGTCTTTGAAATCTTTAATATCAAAAGGCAAAACACCTTTATTCATACTTTTTATGTGGAAATGGAGTAACATTCTGTGGAAAGATGCTGGAAATGTTTGTTAGAAATAAACAGAAACAGCTTTCCAGAATTCTGCTTTAGCGTATATAGTTTTTTTACATAAAGAGTTGACAGATTCCTTTGGAAGGTGAAGACTATTTCTAGATAGATTGAAGACGTCATTTTTTTTTCTTTAATTTAAAATTCCAAGACATCAAAATTATATCTGTTTGAATCCTCTTGACTTTAAACTTTGCCAACTATTTTTATTTGTATTAGAACACTGGGTAGAAATGTGGACAGACTTCTTGAAGCCTGTGCACGTTGGATGGAAGGGTTTGCTTTTCAGAAGTTTGCGTAGAATTTTTCAGAGCAGCTCCATCTCTGAAGACCCTGTGTGGCAATATCATCTGGGCTTTTGGTGCTGGCTAACAATCTGAGGTGTAATAGCATCCTTTTGGTAGATATGTTCATGTGATTATTATTGGTCTTGAAATTGAAGTGAAATAATACAGCAAATATTCTGCAGCGAATTTTAATCCTTTTTGACTGTATCTACTGCAGATCCCTCCTAATCTTAACCTTGCCCACTGGAATTTGCAAAAGTATTTTCCAAACTAGAAAATTATTGTGAGAATTTTAAATCTCATCTCATAACTATAAATTAACTCATCTAGGTATAATTCATTGTTGATTGTAAAAAAGCCACCTATATATTAATTAAAAGATGATGTGGTGAAGTCTGTAAAAGTGTAAGAGCACACCTAGCAAATTGTACCTCCCAAGCTCTCTGTGATCGATAATACCACAATGCAGATCAGTCAGGCGCAGTTTTCCTTTGCATGCAAGTAACACTGAGTGTTTGTTCAGCTGATGTAATTTAGCTGTGCATTTGCAGTTAGATTTTTTTATGTTGTTCCCCTCGGAATTATAGTATTAGAGAAAATACTTCAAGGGACATACTTTCATTCCAATGAAAACAAGCAAAAGACACAGCTTCGGTGACTGAATTACATTGGATACCATTTAATGTAATGACTTTATTGTTACTTTTTCTTCTTCCAAACTGAAGCCAAAGGATTCAGAAAACTTGTAGGGCAGAAACCAAGCAGAGGAATAATTTTGGAACATTTGAGTTACTTTCTGCAGCTAGCTTTTGAGCTTCTCAGCTGGAAGGAAAATTAAGCGTCTTGTACATTTTTCACAGAAGATCATAAATAGAAAGAGCTTAAGCAGCTGAAATTTCAAATTTATAATTTAGCTAATTCTCTGAGGAATAGCACCTCTGTCTAGAAAGCTTATAACTTGGCTATTTATAATATTTTTCATGCATATGCAGTTAAAAAGTGTAGTTAGGCTTTTAGTTGCTTTAAATGCTTGTGGTAGTGTGAACTTACATAACTCAGTAACTACTGTTCCGTACTGCGGAATTTGGTTTCCTGAATGTCGTATTTTTTTCCTACATCTGCAAAGCTGTGTAGCTCACAGGCATGGGTTACACAAAAATTCGCTTAAGTAACTTCACTGCCAGAGCAATGTTTTTTTTCCCCTTGAGAAACCTGCTACATTAAAAATTGTGGACTAAAGCACTGTTTGCATACATACTGCATGAAAGTGAAATGACAGTTCTGTTTGTAAAGCAACTGTATAGAAGGGTCAGTTTAGGGTGTTTTATGTCCACTTAGTTCATAAATGAAATGTTGGTTGACAATTAATAGGACTAAATCTGCTAGAATGATTTTTGTTTCTCTTCTTTGAGAGAAAATGTCCTTTAACCTTCTTATACCAGTACTGATTTATCAGTATACACATCTCACTCAGACTGCTGTGCGGAGAGCGTTTTATACACACAACATAAACTTTATGAGAGTTGGCCCTATTACATAAATGCTGTTGCATCTGTGTTCAGTTCTAAATTGCTTTTATCTCAGTGAATTCGATACACATATCCTGTGTGATTTGGTTTTGCACCTTTGGATTTGTGTGCTTTTTTCCCACGCTGGGTTTACCAGGACTTGGTAAACCACTCAAACCACTCAAAGCCACGTGACAAAAATACGAGGGGATGTTCTTGTATTGATGAAGTTCCTTCACTCTCAGCTACGCTTTGACAGATCCCAGAACAGAGTACTTAACACCTTGCCAAAACCAAATGTGTATAAATAGTCTGTAACGGGTGCTGTGATAAAACATGTAATTTTATAGAGAAGCCTGCCAGCAAAACAAGGTCGAATGATATTTTTTTGACGTGGTTGAAGAATTTTTTTTTACTGAGTGCATGACTGGCTTTACTGTTGGACAACTTTAAAGTCTCAAAAGAAGTCCTTTCACTGTGAGCACTAACTTACTGCCAGTAGAACATAATACAAGGGGAACAGTTTGGTTTCTTTATGTGATATCTGAAATAACTGTTGTTGCAAACTTGGGCTCCTGTTCTATTCCTGTTGGCTGTAAATTCGGCTAGGCTGCTTGTTTGGCTTGGAGCACTTTATGCTGGCAGCTGTTTGCACCCTAGAAATAGGTCAGAGATGCAGCCTTGGTAGCAGCAGGGTAGGGTATCGTACTCCCCTGCTGAAGCGTGTAGCTCCTGATCTGGAGGAAAACTTAAGAAAATTCAAGTGTTGCCCACTGCTAAAATGCTAATAGGCGTATGTATGCATGTTTTGGTGGTGTTTCTATAATGTCATTCAATGTTACCAAGCCTACCAGCTCATTTTGCATCCTCAAAGTGTACTTTGGGCTCCCTGCTAATTTATGCTATGAAGAACATTAAAAGCTGAGGGACAAAGGATTGCCTTTCAGTCTTAACTGCCATGAGTCGGTTCAGTTAGTGCTCTTTCCTGTTTGAAGGCCCAGGCAAGAGCAGTAGCCCAAATACAGCAAGGTAAATGATGGTGCATGGAGCTGTCAAAACCTTGGAGTTTGATGGCAGTATTAAAAATTGTAATGCTTGTATTGTTCATCCTTACAATACTACTTACAGTGCCGAGCATCACTAGGAAAAACACTTGTTAAGTATAGGAGACATTTGGCATTTATAAGGGTGCTGTAAGCATGCTGGGCTATAAAAGCAGTCACTACTTCTGGGTTAATGGGATGAGCTTGCATACAGTAATGCAGGAGTTAACACAAAAGCCTTTGGGATTTGACTGTAAAGTTCCTTGATTTTTTTGGTAGTACATACAGAAGGTACACCCATGAAGTGGAAAGGGGTTGCGTGTTTTATGTCTGTTTGGCAAAGTCAAATTAGACTTCAACTGGAAATTGATGCAACCATCAACACCATCTTCAACAAATGGGAATCAGGCATGAATTATTCAGCATGAATCTATTCAGTAAACTTTGCTCCCTCTGGTGCTATCATAGAAGCACAGCAAATGTTGGGCTGTCTTCCGGAGCTATAAAGGCATTTCCCAAGAAAATGTATGCAGCGTGATAAGGTTTTTCTAGCATATCAGTGAGTTCAGCCAAACAAAAGAAGGGAGATCCATGCCAAAGTGTGCATAACATTGACATAAACTGGCAATATTTATGAAAGAAAAGCGGAAGGGTGGGATTGCCGAGATGCTTGGTCATTCCTGGCACTATCGTTAGATTCCTTCTTGGCAATGTTAGGTTGTCGGAGAAGCATAGATGCTTTGGATGGTATATCCTCAGAGGGGTGATGGCCTTAAGTGTAAAGAAAAGGAATCCTGCCCAGATCAGTCTTACGCCCGCAGTATTCAGCAGCCACAGAGGCAGTCTGGAGAAGGTGCTGTTCTTTCTATCTTTTGCATCCAGGCATGAAATTCTGTTGGTTTCTTTTCATGACTAGGTGTCACAATGAAAGCCAAATAGGTGAAGTATATTTTTAATGCAGCAGAACATCTGAACTGTGCATCTC